TCTTCGTAGTCCTTTAGAATTCGATTAGATCCGACCCGACCTCAGAGTGGTAACTTGCACGTGCTCTGTGCGACGCCGGTTACCCTACCCATAGATGTGATACAACAGCCTCTTTCCCTCGTTACGTTCGGTTTCTTCTCTCAAGCACACATCGTTCATTCGTTCATTCATTCATTCATTCATTCATTCTTCATTCGTTCAAATATATTATATATTGTATTTTGTATATTCTTCACTCGTAGAACTCATCATCTCTCGACATCAATATCGATCGATACGAGATCGATTTGAGTGTCTGTGTATTGTACATATAGTTTACAAACATCATCATCATCTCCTGATATATATTTAACTAGATACCGCTAGTTGTTAAGTGAACAGCGGAATTCGAAATAAGCACCACCCCTTTCGTCTTTCGCCATCCTCTCCCCCTTCCTCCAGCAAATCACTCGAATCACAACCCGGTCCTGCCCTCAATTTAGTCCGTCATCCTTAAAGGCACTGGACACGATGATGAGAGGGTGGGGCGATGACGTCATTGTAGGTCATTGGTGGACCAAGCTCCCCCACCGCTGGAAGTTGTTCTTCCCAACTTTATCCCACCAATCACGCTCAGTGACGTTACCAAAATCGCTCCGCCCCCAGTCATGGTGTTCACTGCCTTTAAATCTCTTCCCTACCCTCGGTGTGTTCTTCTCTCCTTGTCGTCTCGGTGTTCCATATTGTACTTCAGATGTTTTTTATATGCTATACGCCCGGTGAAGTGTACAGAATTCGGCAGCGACAGCTTGTCGTCTCCCAAAACCCTATGTTGACTTTCGTTGTATTTCTCTTCGTCTCCTGCCTTCCCCTGATATCTCTCAGTCCTTCCACATCCCGGTCAAGAGATCCCCGTGCCCCACCCGCTGGAACCGTCGAGTGAACCGCGTGATATTGAGTACCCTGATTTATGCTATTAACATGTAATATTCGAACTTTTATTGTATTTTATGCACGTCTCATTGGATAACGCAGTTAATAAAAGAGTTAAGCGAGTTTACATTAACTCCTATTACATACCCGCTAAATTCAGAGAAATGTCAGGCGAAAACCTTTCCACACAATGTTATTCTTCGGAATGAAGACCATTAGCCTCGGCGGCTTGTGTTCACAGAACACGAGAAACTCGTCCAAAAGGTCTAGGAATGGTGCGGAAGTTATGTACAATCTGCCTCTCATTTGAAGACAGTGATCAAAATGGCCAGGCGGGGCCTCTTAACGTCCTACGACTAATAACCTCCAACAACCTCATGAAATCGTGCGGCTTTCCAGCGATTGTGATCACTGTCTTTAAGGGCTATCAAGCCATGTGGTTGAGCTGCGCCAAATGGTGGTGTCCTCGGACCCATAAAACGAGGATCGCAAGTAGACGCATTTGGCCCAAGTCCCCGGGGTCTCCTCCCCTCCCATTTTCTGAAGTTCGTCAATTCTACGGGGCTTATTTAGAGAAGAAAATACTGGCTGGTAGTATAATGGCTGCAGCTGCAGCTGTTTACGCCTAGTATGTATTCAAAAGCAAAAGGATCTCGAACGGAAGCAGGAGTGCGTGGCGCATCCAAAAATGGATCCATCGAATTTTCTTTCTATCGAAAAGGATTGCAATTGCTCCACCACGGAAATTTTCTAAAGGGGTAAAGCGGTTCTCTGTGCATAAATTCATCCTTGGAATCCACCAGTGCATATATTAAGAATGTTACGAAATCCGTTTGAATTTATCAAAAAAGTCATAAGCGCATTTGCCTGCAATCCTCCTTTTGGACGAGTTTCACTGTGTACCAAAAAAATGTAAACAGGCCACAACGAGGACGACGAGAATTGAAAAAAGTACAAATTGAACACATTCGAAAATAACAAAGAAATTACAAAATACAGAATTCCTACCACAAAAACGAATGTAACAAATAGATTACGCTAGCTGGGACGCAGAAGAGCGAATTCTTAACACAAACATTTCTCGAAATATACACGAGGTAGTTAGCATCTGTTGATCGAGTTAACGTTTAGGTCGGCCTCCTATGGACCCTCCTAAACTCGTAGCATCATCTCATAGGGACAACATCGCAACACTGCAGACTGACGCGGGAAGGAGACACCCCTCGGGACGTTAGCCCCCCAGCGCCCTTGCAAAATTCTTATGCTGTGAAAGGCATTTGTACACGCGATTTAAATCAGCTGCGCCCATATCATCCACTATGTTCATAATAGTTGACCCTCGGGTGGTACGAGATTCCTTCTCAATGTCTCGCCTTCACTGGTTCGTGCCCTAAGCGCCCTTAGCGCATTCCCCACACACTTTTCCGCCGCCCATTCCGCGCCAGCTTCTTTCTTCTCAAATTCACGTCAATTCAAATTCAATTGAGATTGTCAATTGAGTTGTATCAGTGCAATTCCAAGGTTCAGAATTGCACGTAGGGCAAGAATTTGCTGCACATAAACTGCCCAAACACGAAATTATCACACATTTTTAATGACGGCTGGTGCTTTTTTCACAACGCCGGAGCTGCAGTTTGCTCCACAAAATCTACTGCGAAAATGAGCATGACTACCTTTTTCAATGAGAGGGTAGTTGAGAATCTCTCAACATGGGTTATACAGCTCCACTTTTCCTTCAACTAGTTCGCCTTTAGAGCCTCTTTCTACGCACTCTCTCTGCTATCTAATCACTCGCCACGTATAGACCTGCGGCGAGTGATTAGATAGTCGGTGGGCGTACCCCGCCAACCGCGCCAAGAGTGAGCCATGCTAGATCGCCGAGGTCAAATCTTTCGCTGCCAATTGCGCGTCGGTCAGCACCCTCAGGCCGCCTGTCCCCCAACTATGCAATTTTCTCCTTCTTTGACCTTCGTTCTTATCGTGGAGTATGAGGTCAGCTCGTAAATTTTGAGCTCTTGATAAGAACGAAGTAAGCCAGAAATTGTCGCTACTCCACGAGTCTGTCAGAAGCTGTGTTTACCGTAAAATCCCTACTGCAAATTCGCCAAGGCTGAACACAGCTTTGCTGAAGATAGCGATGGTGCTCGGTTTCAACAAAGTGCCTTCGTGCCAAAAATTTTAAAACTGACCGATCACGCCTCGTAATAGTTTCATAAGTGTACCCGGCTAGAGCGTCTTTGAAAAATCAGTTCTTCAAAATTGGATTTTGATCTCTGCTAGAGAGGTTCCTTGGACGGATTTCACGACATGCAAAAGCGGCAAAACGGTGGCCAATCGGTCAAGTTGACACAGCCGTCATGGAGAGCTGCGTCGACGTGCATTCAGATGATTCACTCCAGAGACGTTGAATCTCAGTAGAATGTTCGCTATGACTGTCCTCAGAAAATCGCTCCTCTCAATCGATTAGTGCCGGATTCAGGGCCGCGAAGGGACCTTTAGGCTTTACCCTCTCACTAAAGTCATAAACAGAAGATCTTCTGTATAGAGCTCATGGACTCATGTCATAAATACGGGGCTTTGAGCACAACAAAAATCCTATTGCTCGGACTGCTTTCAGTAACCTAATCGACGGCCCAACTTTTCCAGATCGGGCTCATTTGCTTCAAGTGTAATACAGATCATCGAAAGTCAACGGTCCCAACAAATTCTGTCCGTCTCAACACACCTACCCTCGCCTTAAAATGATCAGAAATTGTGCAGTTGCAGAAATTGAAATAGCATTAACTGACGTCGATTCAAGAAAATCTTTAAGCACACGTGATGTCACCCTTGAATCGATGCCACGTTAATGCCACGTCAATTTCTGCAATTGCACAATTCTGGTCATTTGAAGGCGAGGGTACTGTCAGTTTACCAGTCAAAAATTATGAAAATATCGTTACGCTGAACCTTCTTTGAAGTGAAGCTGGTCGAACTAGTGGTTTGGATTCGTTAAAAAAAATTCAAATGTGGTAACTGCGACCCTCGCCAGTACGCCTCTTTCTCACTGATCTACTGTAATAACTTCGCGAAAAATGGTGATGTGATCGGTCTCATTCACTCATTTCTCTTTCATAGACATCAACGAGAAGCGTGGAAACATGGCGCTCCACCACCCTCGCAGAAGATAAGCCCTCTCTCAACTT